TAAGGAAGTATTTCCTAATATCTAATCTAAACCTCCCCTGGCGCAACTTGAGCCCATTTCCACTCTTCCTATGACTTGTTACCTGGAAGGAGAGACCGACCCCACCGCACTAGAGCCTCCTTTCAGAGGAGCTTCGTGGCTGGGCAGGAAGGCAGAGGCAGATGAAGGGGCTGGACACGGGTGCTCAGATGCTCTGTACACGCGCATTTACAGACAAAACTTCTGGCACTTGTTGGAGCCCAACTGCATTGGGGGCGTATATACCACGGGGAGATGAACTGGAGGGGGTAAAACCCTCAAGACACCCACTGGGTCGTGAAGCCCCCAAGCTGAACAGAGCTACTAAGAGTGTGTATCTACAACGGCCCTGCTTCACAGTCTTGTGTGGTGTAAGACTGTTTCAGAAAATGAAGCCTTTGGGAAAGCGGGGATTTAGGATTTCAGCTTTACCTGAAAAAGCTGTCACTTGTGAGCACACTTTTCAAGCCTTGAAGCTAAACGGTGACCAGCTGGGATGAGGAATCATCTTCAAACATGTTTCATACGTATGGTGGGACTTCTCAAGCACACAAACCAGAGTACTCTGAAACTTTTTTGTGAAAGCAAGTTTAAGCAAAGCCTTTTCCACTTACCATTATATTCATTCCAGTTACATATTTCATGGAGGAACTATATTTTATCAAATATTTATCTTGCATAAAATCAAGACCCTTGAAAAGTAAATAGATTTTTTTTTTTCTCTATCTGAAATTTTTGGAAATGTCATGAGGACTTCTCAGACAGGATGCATATGTTGACAAACTGGAACATAATCTACTTTCCTTCCAGTATTTCTGGGCACTCGCTAATAAAAGAACATGTAAGTCTTGGCCTTCTCAGGACATGCCAAATTGTAATGACTTGGTGGGATTTTCTCAGGCTAAAAATTAAAATCTTATTTTAGCAACAGTTTACATCAATTATACTTGAATTGCAGTTCTCTGTCAAAATAGGACAAAACCACAACTATGTGGGAATTTCAGAAAAAAACCCAAACCAAACACGATAAGAAAACTATGTGAGTTATTTCTTCTTAACCTTTCACAGGGAAGGACTATAAATTTCTTTGCACAACACCGCTCTGTCTGCCGAGGAGTTACTAAAAGGCAAGCACATACATATCTTTAATTTATATGATTAAAAACAATGCCGCATACCATCGATAGAGCCACAAAAGAAAGCTTTAAGCTGGAAACTAAATAGAAATGAGGAAGCAGGCGATTAAACAGGCCTCAAAGAAGAAAAGCGTTCTGCAAAATGTTCAGAGATAGTGACGGTGCCAAAAGTTACAGTGCAAAAATCACTAAACTCTACACTGCTCAACTTAAAAAGGTTGAAAAGACACAACAACAGAGTTTTCTCTCACCACTTCCGCGAAGCAAACTAACTAGCTACTAGTTTAGCAAGTTCTCTCAGGGCATCACCACCACCATCTGTTTTTGCTCTCTGTGATTACAGGTGATTCTCCTTTTGAGTCAAGCTCCATATTAAAATACAGAAAGGAATGCTCTCTCCTAGAAGCAATTTAAAAAAAAAATTATTAAAGATGAGGATAGTTTTTGGCTGTTCCAATCTTCAGTCAAAATCTACAAACAAAAGCAGCCTCAGAGGACCTTTAAAAATTATTTGAACTCAATGAATTAACTGATTTGCTTTTAAATTCGTTCTACACATGACAAGTCAGGAAGCTGAAGACTGAACACATGCCCACCCACTGTGACCCTAATGCAGTAACTGGATCCTTACAGGCTGGTTTTCTGTGCCCACCAATGCTGTAAAGGAACGCCGGTGCATCAGACATAAACGTAAGTATGGCAGCACATGTGCCAGACGGCACATAACGCGCCAAACCTTTTAGTTACACTGAGCTGCAGGTGCCACCAGCAGAGAGGCCATTCGCAGTTTTGGAGCGCGGCTTTAGGGACGGAGGCTGTTTGTTTGGCTTCTACGTGCTATCATAGAATGGCCAAGGTCGGAAGGGACCTTAGAGATCATCTAATCCAACCCCCCTGCCATGGGCAGGGATGCCCTTAACCAGCCCAGGTTGCTCAAGGCCTCATCCAACCTGGCCTTGAACAGCTCCAGGGAGGGGGCAGCCACAACATCTCTGGGCAATTTATTCCAGAGTCTTGTCACCCTCGTACTGAATTTCTTTCTAAGGTCCAGTCTAAGTCTGTTCTCCTTCAACTTAAACTCATTTCCCCTTGTCCTATCAGTGGACACTTGTAAAAAGTCCCTCCCCAGCCTCCCTGTAGGTTCTCTTCAGGTATTGGAAGGCAGCTATTAGGTCCCCCCAAAGTCTTCTCTTTTCCAGACTGAACAATCCCAGCTCCCGCGGCCTGTCCTCGTAGCAGAGGTGCTCCAGCCCCTGGGTCATCTTTGTGGCCTCCTCCGGACTCGTTCCAACAGATCGATGTCTGACTAAAACCTCGATTAGTCTTTGTCAGTTTTTGTGGTGGAGATATCCATACGATCAAAAACCAACTCTAGAGAAAGTGCGGAACGAGAACTTCATTAATTCCTCGTGATTCTGCTTGTTTGCTGAGGTCTAAACATATAAATGATGAGTGAAAAACTCAGTCCTCAGGATGCAGCAACTAAAACAACCCCACAGTAAGATTTCTTACACAGAAGGGGAAAACAACATCCCACTTGTTTGGTGTAACATATTTGTACTGCAGCCATCTCAGCCCTCCACCCGCATGTGCCCTGCACAGGGACTGTCTTCTAGCTACCTGTCTCGAGCTTGAAGTGCAGTAGTGCCTTGTCTTTGCTTCAGCTTCCTCAAAAATAACGCAGAGATTTCTGTTCTCCTTCCTGGAAATGCTGGTACCCAAAGCACTTTCACCAAGAGTGCATCAAATCCCGCCATCGGTGGGATTTAGTCACTTTAATCAGTGTCCATGAAAGCTGCCAGACTAGTGTGCAACATTCCCCCTCTATCACGGAGCGGGAGTGTCCATTCTGGAAAAAAAGGATTCCCCAAAATTACTCCTCCCCCAACTCTCTTCTCCTAATGAATATATTTGGTACAATTTAAAATTCAACACTTCTTTACTCCTCAGTTCTTACACAACAGATTTATTTGAGTCAGAAACTTCCCATGAAGAGAAATCTGTTTGTTTTCTCTTTCTACCTTTTTTCTTTTCTGTTAAGGCTGCAGCTGGCAAACTAAATTTCTGTCTCTTTTCAAGCACTGACTGGTCACATGTTCCCAAAGGACCAGTTTCAGGCAAACTGCTTATACAGATAACAACCCCTCTGAAGACTGGCAAATTTCCATTTCAATGCCATTGCGATTTAGCTCTCCATCTGGGGCTCTCTTCCAGCACACAGAGCATCAGTGCTGTTGATACTTGTACTAACATGCTCCAAGTTGTGCTTCTTCCCTGCAGAAGCAGCAACAAATTTCGAGTCGTGAGGAAGCTGGTGTCACTCTGAGGAAAGACAAATTGTACTAACAGGAATCCTGTTGAGGATTTTTCTTCTCATTGCAGTGCCTTACATTAAATGATTTGAAGTTGCTCCCTTGTGAGTCCAATTTTCAACAGCAGAAGTGAGATACACTTGTAGGAGTGAGAAAACTGTCTAAACAGAGCTGCTTCTGAAAGCAGCCCATTCACACTGAGAATACTACACTGCACGGTTACCTAAGTTAAAAACTAAAATCTGCCTCTACTCTCTCTACTGTTCCTTGTGCTGAAAAGGAAAACGACTCTTCCAAAATCCGCCTACAGCAGGAGAGGGAGAGCCAGATGTCAGCAAACCGTTTCATCAAAATTTGAAAGTCAGTGCCAAAAGGTGTCTCAAAGCAAGTGAGAGACCTGACATCGATCTTGAGAAAGTAACTTGCTTCTCCTCCCTAAGTCACCTGAAGTGAAACTAGGGAAAAATTCTTCTCCCAAGAGATGTCACTAGTCACTCACTAGGTGACATGGGCCAAGGAGCACGTGCGTGTAACACCTGAACTATTTCTACTCTGCACTCAACGTCTGGACTCTCGTGTACGAGCTGTGGGCATCCTTCAGGAGATCTGCGAGGCCACGAAGAGCCCACAGTGACTTTTCTACCTAAACTTAGGAAACCACATTCCTTCTCCAGGTAACACCTGGAATATTCCTTTAAACAACACCGCGCTATGGGTTCAAATGTACCCTGTGGCTCTCATTAGAATGTTTCGCTTTTGGCACAGTGTATAAAGCTGTAAGAGGTATTAAAGTACAGAGCCCGAAGTCTGCACAGTCAAACAGTCAGCGCAGAGAAAAAAAGAACTGAGTCTCTTATTGATTTCAATTCCTCCTCTTGGCCATTTAAGTTCGTTCTTGCGTCCACTCAAACTCTGTCTTGTTTTTTCTGCCTTCTTAAGGTTTTACACCAAACAAATCCAGCTCTGCCAAAGGTGCAGGGCTGTAGAGCTGCTCACAGTTCATCAGGGCTAGTTCTCCTTTGAGTAGGAGGTGGCAACAGAGATGGCGTCTCCTCGGAATAAAAACTATCACATAATGAAAACACAGCAATTTTTTTTTTTCCAAACATATGCTAAGACTGTATGACAGAGTGAAAGAAAAACCAGCAAATCCTGCCTCAAGCAGTGCTTTGGGGGATGGTAAACATCCTAATGGTCCAGAGGCTGAATCAAAGCAGAGTAACAAACCCCACAAATAATTATCTTGCAGGAAAAGCCGGAAAGTTCAGAAAGGTCAGAAAGTCTTCTGCAGAGTTCCCCCACAATCTACTGCCACCTGAAATCACAATGTTTCATTCTCAGTAAGCACATTAATTCCTCAAAGTTCTTGACCATCTTGAAAGTTTTAACTGACAGTGGGATCAGTTTGACCTCCTGGGCTTGTGAAAGTCACAAGCAACTGGTGCCACTCAAGACTGGAAAAGCTAATGCCTAAATTAGGGAAGAAATGTTCCTGTCTCCTCCCTCTCTTCAGCTTGTAATAAACTGGACAAAGGAATCTGGGTACAGTGGTTTCTTGACGGTCATCCAATGACAAACCACAAATTCCCAAGGGCACTTACAAGGAAAGGAGCCAAAAGTAAACTTCAACATCCTTTAATCAAAACTGATGTCTTAACTCTGGCCCAGTCTGGATCTTGGCTAGAACACATAGCGGACCATGCAGGCATCCACCAGTAGCTCTCAAGAGCTAGTAGAGATTTATCCTACCTTGGTCGTCTTCATGGCCATCAGCTGTTCTGAACGGTTCTGAGTGCCACACAGAACTAAACCCCTAAGAGATTAAGAAATGCAACTGGCAAGGGATAAGGTCTCAGTAACATCGCCTACGTACAAGCTCTGCTCTCCGTTCCCGCCCACTGGCTTCCTGTAGAATAAATTCTTATTTTCTAGGAACTCAATGTCCTGGCTTCAATACACCCAGAAGACTGTTTCAAGTTCTGCAAGACAACTACAACCAGTGACTTCAGCATCTAAAATAAAAATAATTCTTCTGTACAATGAAGATTTCCTGAGAGATCAGCTCTGGACAGAGCGGAGCGCTCTTGGAGAAACTGCAGACCATCAGCACCATCTGCTTCACATACAGAACACTTATTTATTCAGCCTTGCCCCCAGTAACAAGCCTGTGACACCTGAATTTAGACACAGGTGTTTTGTCATTAGGTACAACATCAAAAGCTTCCAAACCAAAACACTCCTTGAAGTACACTTCCTAAGACCAGACCTGCAATTGATGTTTGTCACAGCCCATACCACCCCCCTGTAAATTATCCACCGGGCAAGTGCAGCTCACACACCCAACGGCTCCCCGGCGTGAGCCTATACTACCACTCTTACTACCATCTGCTGCTGCACCTGTAGCAGTCTCACGTAGGAGAATTTTAACAGAGAACTTCAATTCTGACAAGCAGGAAGCCAGAGTTAAACTGAAAAACATACGGCGGCGCACTGACAACAAGAAAACACAGAACTGCAGAGAAACAGCACCAGAAGGTCCCATTACCCTCCTCCTCCTCTCCTGTTTAGCGCTTTTTCCCCACCTCACAGAGCTCTCTCTCAAATTATTTCTTCCTGCTAACACGCCTTATTACTCCTCCAGTGCAAGACTGCTTACAACTCCTACTACAGTGAGGGTTCTTAAACGGCTGATGGTTACACCTTTGTTAGGGCTAAAGTACGCACCCATCGGTCTCCTTAAGAACAGGCAACCTCCAGATTGGCACGGAATTATACCCACAACTTCCCACACAGAAATATTCCACTGCATAAAATGAGATTCACTAAAACCCACAGCTGTTTGAGGTATCCGAAATACAGGACTCACCAGCTAAATACTTAACTTAAAAACTGTTTCCAAATCTACATTTTGGTAGTGACTCCTGTGTGAATATTCTCATTTCACAGAAGGGACCAGTTTTAGCAAGCTACAATAAAAGAAGAAAAATCAGAACGAATTAAGAAGCACTGTGGAACCAAGTATTACCAGGAATCGTTCCTCTTTTTCAAGCCAACGCTGGTCTTCCTCCATCTCTTGTTGTTGTCGTATCAACCTCTCCTCCATGAGATGTGTGGGTAGAACCTGCCCCATTCCTCTTATGTCCAAAGTGCCTGATTCCTACAAAAGAAAGTTTATTCAGTCTCATAACAACGTAAAATTTGTATAAACAGCTGCAAGAACTTACAGGTTATAAAGCAATGTATTTTCAAAAGCCCAAATGCACAACAGCCATCAAGCAGAGTTCCTTCAACTCTTTATAACTGGAACAGACCATCAGAAGAAACTCTTTCCAACTACAAGCATTATATCTGCCTTGCTTCTAATCACTGGAGCCAAAAAGATTTGAAAAATTCTGTTTTGTTTTTCAGCAACATGGTAACTTTATATATTGCACTTCATTTGAGTTGGACAGCAAAAATAGATTTATTGATTTTGTTTTCTTGGTCTTGAGCAACAATGTAACCAGCCAGTTGTCACAGGCTGCAAGATAACATTTTTATCCAAAACAAACAGGCTTTTCAGTTTTAGCTGACACTGGCAAAGCATGTTGCAAAAAAACATTTTTTCATTGCATTTTTGAACAAGTTTTTAATACACATCTTAGCTTTACAATACTTCACACACCATATTCCAACATTGTCTGGAAATCATTAGCAAGTAGTGTATAAACTAGTATTTTAAAAAAAAAACCACAAGAGGAGTTTGGTAACAAACACTGAGATTGCTTTTAGTCGACCTACTCCCCGAGCCTTTGTGAAAACTTGGGCTGTAACTCAGCATTATGAACAACTGCAAAGCGTTCGTATGCTTCCACCGACACTTTATGCAAGCACAACAGAGATTAAATTGTTTCCAGAGGCAGTCATCTACTGGGTTGTTAACTACCTGGGACTAAAATCCTCAGTTACCTCTAGTTTGCCCAGCAGCAGCATGGCAGCAAGGTGCAATAGCAGAATATTTGGCCAAATCAGTCAAGAGTAAGCAGAGGCAAATCTGCTCGTCTGTATCTAAGCCCCAGTTATCACTTCAAAGTTTATCAGAGGCACAGGGTGGAGAAGAAACAGATTTAAGATGGAAGCTCCACAAAGTGAATCTTTGTGGGAGAATAAAATGGAATGAGCAAAGTATAAATTATTGCAGGAGAACAGGAAAAAAAGAAGATGGACGGCTAAAGAGGGAATTAATTTAATGTCCCTTTCAGCTTCTCTGTGCAATCACGACAGGCTGAAAAGCAGCTAACAGGAACACAATTCAGGAACAGATTTACAGACCATTTCATTTTCTGTTCTGGGTAAGTTACAGAGAAGCTACAGATACTTTAGCTATGCTGGATAACTCCCACGAGAGACATTTTTAGCCCGTAATGATATTACATATTTTCACATGAATGTTCCCATCTCTATTAATAGCAGGAAGTTTCAGTAAAGCCTTTCTTTTCACAAATGCAAAATATTTGCTATCACTCGCTCAGTTAAGATAGTTAGTAGTATTGACTTCACGAAGAATTTCTGTAAGAGTACACTTGATGTCCAACCTCACAACAGGAGTATTTCTTCCAAAAAGAACAGAATTCAGTCATGGCTCCCACCCCACTGCAGGAAGGCCATTTAAAAAGTACAAGAGAAACACTTAACTCTCCTACAATAATCTCCAGATGTTACCTAAATAATAAGAAAGTGTATTTACTGTACAGAGCGCAACAACAGATGTGTCAGGTCATGATACCTCCATGTTTGGTTGCCACACTGATATTTCCTGAGGCCGATGGTTCCAGGAATCTGCTTGATCCAAGAGAGAAGCCTGCCCAGGATAAATGCTGCCTGCCATGGCTGGTATCCCATGGGAACCAGGGTAGCCAGACACCTTTAGCGTTTAGGAAAGAAAAAAAAGAGTTATATTAAGACCTCCACTTCCCCATAATTAATAGCTCCTTCCCCCCTCAAGGGGAACAAATATGACTCAATTCAAGCGGTCACTGAGAGGGCGCAGGGGAAGCAACATCAGAAGAAGGAGGCCAAGACAAAATATGACACAAAAACTTTGTTAACTTTCTGAGGATGCCCATTGTACAATAGCAGTAACTGCTTGAGGACAACTATAACTATGTATGAACATCCAGAAACATAACTACACCTTCGGAGGATAACCGCTGGAGGGTGCTTATCAAAGCAGCAGCATGAGAAAGTATGTTTTAATCTCTGCAGTCAAAGAGATCAAAGTCCTCTGAGGAACAAAAATAAACCTACTGATAGATTTGTAAGAGCTACTACACACCCAGAGCTCACGTTCAAGCTGCCAGGAGCCTGCAAACATTGACCTACAGAGCCATAAAAAAATGGACTCCCTTGTCTACGTTACAAGCTTAAATCTCGAGCGACAGCACGTAATTAGGGTGCTTGGCTGAGAACTTCTCCCAGGAAAATCGAAGAAGTTTTAATGAGTGTGAACTACTCATCGAAACTATGAAAATGTCCCTCTCTCCACAGGAAAAAAAGAATAAAACTCCACTGAGACCACTGTATATGGATGCAGCTTTGAGGAAACCCAGGAACGCTTGAAGTATTTTCATAACACACTTCGTTTTAAATTTTTGCAGCAGTGTTAGAAAGAAAAGCCAAACCTGTGAGTGTACGATGCGGTTGATATAAAAGTGGCTACCAGCCAACAGGAAATAAAAATGTTTCGGAGAAACATCAGGGAGCTGAGTATCAGAGTAAGCCACCAGGCCACCACCTAATGCCATTTTATTAGGCAAATAATTTCAAAGCTTAGCCCAAATGTGAACATAAATGCCACATTCCTTAAATAAATTTGAAAATGTTGGATGTGTTTCGTCGCAGTTTTAGGAATCTGAGCACTGCGTCAGGTATAAAAATATTTGTCACCTCGTGTAAATCCACCAGGCTCAGTTCAGGGTTTGTTTTGACGCAAAACACAAACCATCTGGCAAATGAATGGGAATAAACCATGTAAGAAGTGAATCAATCCCAGAGGCTGCAAGCGAGTTATAAACCCCACACTTGACAAAAACAAACGTGCACAGCATTAAATGTAATACCTGGTAATGATTTGGCTGTACCATATGCTGCGGACTTGGATAAAACCCTTCACTGGATCTCGGACTGGGGTAACCAGGCCTGCTGGGCTGTAAACATAAAGGAATTTTTAGACTCTGTAGAAACAGAAAACTAAACCCAGAAAATCACACTTTAGGAAGACAAAACATTTACAGGCAGTGCAAGCTCAAAAAACCCCCTGAAATCAATATTCTAAAACGACTAACATTTTTTTTCTATGCCTAAAATGAAGTTTTCCTCCATTTTTGCTAGGAAATGGAAACAGCTGAATTGCTTGCTGGTATGCCAATAAATAACGGTTGCTCTGTGAATTCGTTGTGCCTGTTTAATTGCTGGCACTACCTGACCTGCTCCGTGCTGTTTAACTCCAGAGAGGACATCAGCGAAGCACACAACTCTCCAGCCAGGTTTCCAGGTGCAAATACAGCATTGCCTCTACGGTCACGATCCGCACGGCATAAAGCTTTGCCAATAATTTGCTGCTTTTGTGACCGCTCCCTATAGCAAATTCAGTCAGAATACAAACCAAACTGGTTTGTTTAACGTGAATATTGCCCTGTGTTATTCTGAGAACTGAAGTGAGCCCTGATAACTAATTTCTGTGTAACTAACTGCCTCAACATGGAAAGTGTTTTTGGATCCCATTCTGAGCTCTGCGGTTGTTTCATCAGCCAAGTTCTGTTTTGCAAACCATTCCCAGGGAAGAAAAAAAACGCAGAACTAGCTCTTATTAGAAAGGACAATTAAAGAGCAGCGATCAAGAGTCTTTATCTGCTTTTCAGAAGGGCAATGCTTTACATGTAAAAAACCAATATGTATCATCACAGGAATACATGAGAAAAACCACCAGAAATTTGGACAGTGCTATTACAAAAAAACCAAAAACACAACAAAACTCTGCGCAAAAAGGAGCCTGGTTTTCTGCACACATTGAGCAGATCATCCTTTTGCCAGAGCAGGTATAGAAAACTGAAAGAAGTACTGTTGGAAAATGTTGCTCAGAACAACATGCTTTTAGTTTCCAAGCAGTTTTCTGTTATTTTGTTTGATATTAACCAACAAAGGTATATTTGGCGTATTTTTTCTGATGAGGTGAGTGTTTCAGGAGAAAAATCAACCAAAGGAGGGAAAACACCTCCATTCTCATTGTTCTGCCAACTGGCTCTTTCAGTCCTTCTGGTAGTTACAAGAAACAGCCACAACACTTTGAGACTGCAGAACTTTATCATCACTTTGTGAAAAATGTCATTATCATTTGTACTGGGAGATTTTCTGTCCTTCTGATGGAAATCAATGTGAGACTCCAGCGATTTCGTAGCACCAGTTGTGATATCTGTGAATTATTTGAGAATGTGTAGGAGTTTAAGGCTACATAGGTTTAAGACCTATAAAGACATGAAAGTTCTGCAATGAATTGTTGAGATAAAAACAAATCAGTTGCCACCATTAGGAAATGAGATGATAACTTCAGAGATACTTAAAAATTCCTATACACAAAATTCAACTCGTTCAAATGTCATCACCATGCAAATCTGTATTTTAGGTAAAAATACTGTATAAAAATCTTGCATGATACATAAATACAGTGAGGACATACTGACTCCCTCAAAAAAGATGTGCAGCCGTAGAATTAATTTCAACCTTAACACACCTTTTGTGAAGTCTTTCCATTTATACATCACACCCAAATCTCGCACAACACCAATTTCTAATGTGTTGTAGCCCATATATATTACATCAGTAAAAGGTACTTATGTGGATTAGCCCCAAAGCTTCAAGATTAAACAAATTCTTCAAACAAAGTTGTAATAATTAAGTAGCATATTGTTCCAGCTTATGTAGTTTTTCTGCTTCTGTAATTCAGAACATCATCTGCTTATACATACACCAAATCCTGCTATTATATCTCAGATGACTAAAGGCGTTGATAAATTGTTTGCTCGTTTTAACTCTAAAATGAAAGCAATGACTCCATAGTCGGTATTCCTTGGTTGCCATAAAACTACCGAAACACAGAATCAAGCTCAGAAATCTATCCAGGCAACAACCTGGGTAGGGGGAAACAAAACAAATAGAAATAAGTTGCCTTGCTAGGACCATCGGGGCATGGTGAAGCAGAACGTGCCACAAGAGCGCTCCTGAAATCTTTATCGGCACCAGAGCTTGCATACACAGCCACAGGGAGTCATCACAAACCGATCAGGACACAGAAAATATTCCACGTTACAGAGGCGACTGCACAAAAGAGAATTCTTCAAAATACAGGCTTAATCCTTCAAAGTGCAAATACCTCCGAAGAGAGGCAGAGAAGTTACCGAGAGAGGAGAGCACTCAGCAGCCGGTGGGCTGAGACTACCCCAGCTGCAGAACGACATCCGAACAGGACAGATGTAATGAAACAAAATAAAGTGTCAACTAAAACACTTGGAAGCAAACTCTTAATTTTCTGTCCAGAATAAGAAAAATGAGATTAGCCGATTTCTATCCTCTCACTGATGTATTACAAGCAACCTTCACGCTGGTCATGAGAACTCACCAGCTAACGTTTCGTAGGAGAGCTAGAAGAAAGAATAAAAACGAAAAGGCCAGGAAACAATTTTGTGGCAACTACGGCAGTCTTTTACAAGATAAACCACAAGGAACAGAAAATCGTTAGTGCAATATTATAGCACGGATCAGTTCTAGCAGCAGTTTGAGCAGAGCCGGGTCATTTCAGGCAAGCATTAGCAGATGATGACAAAACTGGCCAGAACGCCGTCATTTGAACGAACCCATCAAAGGAGGCTTTGAAGAAATAAACGGAATAAAAAGGGTTTTTTTCTGGTTTGTTTTTTAAACACACGTAATTTGCAGTCTTAGCTACCTTGGGAGGAGCTTCATCCGATCCTCCTGAGTCCCAGGACACTGTGACTTGTCGCCTGGATTCCATTCTCATTCGTTCCTCTTGCTGCAGCTTCTCTTCTTCCAGTATGGTACTAAGAAAAACACATTGTTGTCTTTAAGTAAAACTCCAGCTCAGTGTCTAACCAAAAAAACCTCTCCCCAGAGCTCTCACATTTTTCAGATGCTATTCGACAAAGTGATTGAGCACTGGAACACAAACTTCTTATATTGGTTAGGTTTCTGAGAACGAGGATCAGGAAAAAATCCTTCTGTAGGATTCCCAGCACGCTTTTAACAGAAGCAGCACCGAGTTTTTAGGAAGCTGTGGTTGACTGTGCACAAAAATTGTTTTGCACGTTAACCGTACTTTTGACGTGTAATCACACAGAGAAATCCTCAAAGACAGTAAATCGAGCACGTACTTGCATGAAAAGTGATTTTTCACAAGAAAATGTATACGGAACTGCTACAAAGGTTCAAAACAAACCGAAAATATTCTTCATTGCAACTCGGTTGCAGATCGCCGGGATTTTTTTTTCCTTTTTTAAACAAAGCAGTCAAAAACCATTTTAAACACTATGTCCTCAGCTCTTACATTTTAGCCTGATCATGAACACATTCAGCCAATTAATTTAGCAAAACAGATATCTGACAGCATTCACTCAGCTTCTAAGCATTCAGGTCAAAAGGCTACATTTTCAACAAAGCACACGACAGCCGTAAAATCAGTTCGCTACTTACCGCTGTTCAGGCTAGTAAAAAGACCGTTTGAAGTTCAACGTGATAGTGCTGCCCCCACAGCAGCCTCCTCCCAGTCCCGCTATGTGGATTATTAATGTTGGATATTTGCCATTTGAAAAAATATTCGGAATGAAGCTTTGAAAGAGAGAGCTGCGAATTCGTCAGAGCTGCACCCGCTCCACGGCTAGTGTGGAGCCGTGAGGAGGGCAGATCGCTCACGTATCGCTACCCCCAGCGTAAAGATAATCCTGTAAAGGAGCTATTCCAGCTTCTTTATCACTGAAGAGTTTCCAAAAACAAAGCGAGGGTCTGGGTTTATACTCTCCCGTTCAGCCTCCTAAATAACCACCCAGAATTAGTCATGCAGGGGATGAGATCAACTACAGCAATCTATTCTAATCTTGGAACGTTTCTGCTTATTTCAAGAACAAATTCCTGCTTGGTTGGAGACGAGAACTTTGCTTTTCCTTACTCAGCCAAAAAATAAAATAAATAAATAAATCTATGCCACTTTTAAAAAGCAGAGAAGTCATCTCATCTCACTGCAGCTAAACCAATTTTGTAAGTATTGCTGCAATTTCAATCCTTCGTTGCTGAAGCAACACAAGAATGTGGAACAAAAACAAAATCAGACAAGTTATTTGCAAAACTCATCCTGATGTAACCACCACAGAAACACGGCTACAGCCCAACAGAGGGAAGAAGACAGGGAAAATTGTTCTATTTCGCCTCATTCTTCCTCCAGAATAAGGAAAAGGCAGGATTTCCTCGCTGAATCCATGAAGAGTTAGCAAAATCCCACTGTTTTAAAGCTAAGTCACACGTCAGATGTTGAGCATGTATTTTTATGGAGCACGAGAAATAAGTCAACACGCATCCCTGGCCGTGAACTACGATTACTTTTCAAGAAATACCTCAAGATATACAAAACCCACACAACTAAACAACAACTAAACAAAATCCACTCGGACGCCGCACGAATAAAATAAAGACTTTTAACAAAGCTGTCGATACAGCAGTTGGTCTAATTCGAGCGAAAGCGTGGAACAGGAATCAGCTCAGAGCAGCTGACTAAATTTAGAGATGGCTTAATGACAATTTGGGGCCACGAGTATAATTTGTCTCGGCACAGTCCTGTATTTCCATAAAAAGGAATGAAACACCACTATCTGCTTGACTTGCTGTCCAAGCCATTTTCTCTGTGGTGCCACGGTATTCTATCCAGCACCATTAACTTCAATCATATCACTGGAAATCACAAATTTCTGTGGGAATTACTTGGTTTTCTTGATGTAGGCTCAGCTTTTTCCCTTACAACTCTAATCTATCCCCATCCTGTGCCATCAGGAGGTCCTTTCCCCCAGCAACTACATAACGCAGCCTGGTCAAAAGCTGATGAACTGCAGCAGAATTTGGACTTGGATGCCCTTAAGTATCACCGAGAAGAATATAAAATAGAAATGTCTCCTAGAAGCATTAGTTGAAAAAACACAAAGAGTATGAATGACTCACAGAAACGTCTTTGTTTTTACAAAGGGGAGGCTCCATCCATGGACAGAGTAAAAGCGTGCCAAGAGATATTTTTGACCTTTTCTCTGTGCAGCTGCTTAACTACTCTGAACAGTTTATTAGAATTTGCAGAAGGTCAGGGAAGTCATATCTAGGCATATTTTCCCAAACTGCAAATATTTTTAGCAGCAAAGGGGAGCAAGCAGAAAAGCATTTCTGTTCATCTGACTTCCCTAGCAAATCTTAAGGCAGTACAGATAAATTTAACTCATCTTCTTGGCTAGCTTAAGTCTGATGAAAAATCTCAACTATCAAAAGCTTGCGTAACTGATAAACTTAATTTTTAATTCACAAAAAATCTTTTTACTGAAACTGGCCCGTGACACTGAAAAGGAAATATTTATCGGGAGCTTCAGGAATATCTGAAATACTATGGTCTCTGGTCACCACAGACTGTAGAATCACAGACCGGTTTAGGTTGGAAGGGTCTTTAAAGATCATTTAGTTCCAACTCCGCTGCCACGGGCAAGGTAGCCCAGGTTGCTCAAAGCCCTGTCCAACCTGGCGCCTTGAACCCTTCCAGAGAGGGGGAATTCCCAACTTCTCTGGGCAACCTGTGCCAGTGCCTCACGACCCTCGCAGAAAAGAATTTCTTCCTAATATCTAATCTAATCTACTGTCAATATAAAACCATCAACCATTCAATTACTGTTAAATGCAAAGCTGGACGCAGACAAACACATTTTCACACACCGCTCTAATTTTAAAAGCACTTTCATATGGGTTATAGGGTATTCCTAACGGTCACTCTCAAAGAGCAAAATCCTAATGAAGTATTTTGCAGTCTTCATCAAGTATTTCAAGTATGTGTTTTGTTTCTTTTATTTACATAAGCAACATTTCAGGACCAACATCCAATGCAGTCACAAAAAGGCTCAAAGCCCAGTTCTCATCAGTTAATTATCTCATCGTTTCCATTAAAACAGACTTTAAAAGCATGAATTGCTCTTCTTTTTCTGTTTTTTCTGAGCTGTGTCTAACACGACGTGCAGCACTAGGATGCTAGTGGGCTGATGCACTTTGTTAAAGCCTGTGCTTCTTCATCAGTGACCAGAGCGACACTCTTACACAGATGGTACAACTGCGGCTTATTTTGTTATTTTTAGGAAAAAAGGGTTTAGTTACAGGTACATGAAACAAATTTGTTCTGTGACGCAGTGAAAAAGTCAGTCAATTCCATTAACTCAAAAGCTCAAAATTAAAATCCACCTTAACCTCCAACGCAAAAAAAAAAAGTTTGAGCAGAACTACCAAGCAAAAGGACACTCAGGGTTCCACAACTCGTAAAAACAAGCCCAGGAGCCGAGTTGTGAGAAAGCCTGTGAGTAATTGGTGCTACCTTAGCAATGGACACCTGCAGCATCCTGAACACAGCAAAGAATAAATTAAATTTAATAATACATGTATGTAGGAGATAGTGTAAGGTTAGAGTAGGTGTATGATTATAGCACAGCAAGTCTACGGTTCCAGTAAGTGGAGAGGAGAGAAATCACAGAATCATAGACTGGCCTAGGTTG